AGGAAAAAAGGGAAAATACTCCAGAAGTTCACCATTTTGTTCTGTTTCCTCCAGAGCCCAGCCAAGCGCGTACCACGGCACCATTGCGAGAAGGAGCCGGGGCAACAGAGCAGCAGAGCCTGAGCTGAGCCCGAGCTGAGCCTGAGCCCAGCCAAGCCTGGGCTGGGCAGACAGGAGCTGAGCCAAGCATTGCTGGCCACAGTCAACCCCAGCAGTGCAGAATGCAGGCAGCACCACTGCGAGAATTTTGGGGGTTTGTCCGTCATTGTTTTTCGTTGTCTCAGGCTCAGGGATGGGGAATGCTGGCTGCAGAATGTTCCACCACCTTGTCTTAGTCTTAAGAATAATTGTGAGCTGCTGCCAAGCTGCAGGAACGTCGCCCATCTTGTCTTTGTCTGAGCAGCCACATGGAACTACACTGAGGTGTTAGTGAACACCCTTTGCACGTAAAGAACCACATCTTCTGTATACTTTTGTTATTAATATTGCTGCTGCTACTGTGCTTTTCTTATTCCACTGCTGTTTGCTTTCAGTAAATTGTTGTCTCAACCCACAGTCTCTGCTTTTGTCCCTCTCTCAGCAGATGGGGGCTGGAGAAAGGGGAGTGGCTTATTTGAGGTTTAATTACCAGCAGGTGTTAAGCCACCACATGCAGTCAAACACTGCTGTCATATTCCTTCATCCATGTTGCACTTCTGGATTATCATCCTCACATCTGCCTACCAAGAAATCTCCCCTTATATAATTCAAATCTAAGCAGTTCAGTTCTCAAATGTTGCTTTTGTCCTCTCTCATTTTGCTTTATATGCTCCACCTGTTACAGGGAGCACCTCAATTTGCAGTACTGCTCTGACACATTTAACAGCACAATTATAGATGACTTGGTAACCACCCATTGACTAAAAATAACCTAGCAACTGAAGACACACTTGGGTATTTATACTTAGATATCCCAGAGGAACCCTTCACAGCTCCTGTAGCTGGGGAAAACATATGTATCTCACCAAATGCAGTAGAAATGTAGTAGGAATCCTCAGGGGTGGGGGCGGAGGGACGTAGGGGAAGTGATAACATTGCACAGCTGAAAGATTTTCCAGACAACACTCTGCCAGCTAATCCAACTCTTATCCAACTAGCTCTGCAATTAAGGTTTCCTACTGAGAACAACGACAGCATTATGACCTGGGGAATTTTCTACATAAAAAACCTCTGTGCATCTGGGATTGAAAAATTTAGAGCCTTAAAATCCTAGAGCTCCTATACTGAAGGTATTTGCCACCATTACAGTTTCTAAGGAACTCTAATGCCAGTATGCATATCAGAAAATATGTGAGCTGCGATGAATGAACTATCAGTGAGGAGGGAGACAGGCAGCATATCCTCTGTGAAGACTCTGCAGTGCTGAAACTCATTCTTGCCTTCCAAAGTATGGATTTTTTTTTTAAATTCAAGATGTACCAAGTTGTCACACAACCTGTTCAGAAAGACGTATTCTGATGTCTGAAGAAAGAGACATCTAAATGATGTGATTTAATTTCTATTATACATTATTACATATGCTATGGCTGCCTGTGGCTAGTTTTATATTTGAGCAGAAGAAGAAACATGGAATTTAATGGAAAGAACCCCATGTGTCTTAATGGAGAACATTTATTCTGCAGTGTCCATCTGCCCATCCTTTTACTACTCTCTGTTTTTTTTCTCATTTATCTATGGTCTTCATCCATTCCTGTCTTCACACTATGCTTTTATTCACCCTAAATAGTCAGCAGATTGCAGCAACAAAGAGAACTACTAATCTCAAAGAGAGACTGTACAAGGTCATAAGGGCCTTTCTATCTGCCTTCAGTTGTAAGATTATGGCCTTGAAATGAAAATGAAGTGTTCAAGATGAGGTTGGACGGGGCTTTAAACAAGCTGATCTAGTGAAAGATGTCCCTAACCATGACAAACAGCTTGGACTAGATGATCTTTGGAAGGCCCTCCCAACCCAAACCATTCTGTGAGTCTGCGAGAATTCAGGGAGAACATTGAACTCTTGAAACTCACAGTTAAGAATGATGTGCAAGGCATAGGCTGAAACATTCCAATGACTATAGGGCTATTCACAAAAATTGCAATTAAACTCAGAAGGCTTATCTTCATATTTTTATTTTTTATGTATTTTAAGATCATCTGGACTTTTAAACACTTCTCAAATTACAATTATTCACTCTTTTTTTCAGAAAAGGGATTTGTATTTTAACCAGGATGTTTAACCACATGAAATTAAGGGAATGTAGTTATGATCCAGGTTTCCAGCATCAATTCTTGAGGTCTAGCTCAAAACCACACGACTAAAATGCTGCAACATTCAGGGAGTAAGTTCTTAATTGAGAATGAGACCCACAGAGAAAGCCACGCTGAATACACACAAACTCTATGAGCCATATCACAGCAAGCCTTTATAGAATGGCCAATACCAGTGTTGCATGAAAAAGTGAATAAGCTAACGGATTTGTAATGTCTGTTGTTTTCTTCCGTCTTAGTGGAGAGGGAAAATAAAAAAAAAACCTATCACAGCAAGCCTTTATAGAATGGCCAATACCAGTGTTGCATGAAAAAGTGAATAAGCTAAAGGATTTGTAATGCCTGTTTTCTTCCATCTTAGTGGAGAGGGAAAATAAAAAAAGAAGAAAAAAAAAACTAAACCAAACAAATAAACAATTCTATGGAAATGAATTCTGCTATACAAACTCACTGGCAACTTAAGCAATGAACTCTTTGACCTGTAGTTTTAACTTTAACCAGAGAACCTCCTTTACATTTCTTAAAATTTTGACTGTCCATATTTTTCAAAATCTGAATGTTACAAAAGTTGATCAGGAGCTGATGTTAGGCCACTCAAATTCATTCCATTAGCAATTTATTTTATAGCATGTATAAAAGGGAGCTGCAGCAAAAGTGGTGCATATCCAGAACACCACTAGGCACCTCCACAGTAAGTTAGAACAGGTTCTGAACATATGGGGAAGAGACAACAACTGCCTCTAATATTTGAGCATGTTGGGTGATGCTTGTGAGAGAAGTAATCTTTGGTTGCTATTAAGCTAGCAAAGGGGAAACAAATATTTTTCAGACAAATGTTAAGTGCAGATGGTTTAAAATTATTCAAAACCTTAAATAAACAGTTAAAATTGTTACATGCACAGAATTAACAATTATTACATTTTACGTATAAATTAAAATGGGTTTACCACTATGGCACTCTTTTCTTTAACCTAATAATTTTCATGTTTTCAAGAGATTATCAGACTATGACATTAAAAGAGACAGAGAATTTTATAAAAGTTTCTTCTGGGTCTGTGTTCAGGAACAAGTAAAGGTGAAATCTTTGTTAAATTTAAATCTTTAATGTGAGTACAGAAACTTGTTTGCTATTCTGAAATATAAAACAATCACTTTACAAGCCATTCATGTATAATATAGTCCACTGGTTCTTGAGAGTAAAGAAAAAGAAAAGTATTAGTGAATCTCTAGCTATTATTAAATATGGCCAGTTAATACTAAATGGTATAAGACTTCTTTTTTTTGAGTTGGAAGAAAGTGTATTATTGAAAGCTAATCTCAGGTTTATTGCTGGACCCTATGGAATTAACACATTGGAGGCCTCTCTGTTTATACCTGGGTGGGATAATGGCAGGAACTGCAGATTAATAGAAGTTTCTCTTGCGTGCACAACCTATTCATTATTGGCTTGTCTGTTTTTGTAGGAAGTTTATTTCTTCTATTTACCAGATATATCAGGAGTCTTATAACTTACTATATTAAAGGAAGTAGACACTGCATAGCATCTTTTTCACAAAACTTTTTGTGAAAAACATATTTTAAGTGGCAAACAACCCCTTTGGTTTTATTTTAAATTATGCTGTCCTAATAGGAACCTTTTTTTTTTTGCATGCTTACATTATTTAGAAATAGAAAGCTTTAATTACAACATGAAATGGAGCATTTAAGATTTTTGGCATTTAACAAAAAAACAGTACTAAAATATGACCCCTGGGTCATGGGCTGGTGACAGTGCACAGCCTGAACTAACTTCTGTAAAAATCATGGAGATATTGTAGCTGATTCAGTGTATTTCAGCTGGACAAAGCATAACAAAGAGCATTATACAAACATTGTAAGAAATAAAACATCCTTTTCTACAGCAGTCTATACTCTCTCCTTGGACACTGCTTAACCTTAAATAGAGGAGTGGAGTGCCAAGTCCTGGGAGGTTTTAGCATCACGCCTGTGCTGGAATGTCTCAATCATCCTCATACTCCTTTGCAGGCTTTTAAACAAGAGATAAAAGGCTTTCTCTGATTTCTTGGTGTACACTCAGTGAAAGTCTCACACCAACAGCCTATGTACTCCACAGGTGAAAGTTCACAAGCCTTTAAGTTTTCAGTTGTCTGTGTATGTAAATGAAAGGGGAGATGAGTCATGATAACTAATGATCCTGACTGAACAGGGGTGTACAAGGTAAAATGTATCTAGTAAGGATGATACAGGCATTACAGCTTGAATCAAGTATAAATCTTAAACTAGCAGATTGGTTAAGACATCCCTGCAGAAACAGCTTTGACCTTAAAGTCACAGTAAAAATCTGAGTCTGATTTACCACACCAGTGTACTAATATACAGGGGTAATAGACATTAGATTAGCATAATATTATACATTGAATGGCTACTATGTTAGAAGTAGACCTATCAGAAGTGGGAAATGATGAATTGAAGTTTTTATGCATGAATTACCATATACAGATTAGATACTGTATTAATTTTTTTAAATATTTGTTACCTTTTTTAAAGAAAAAATGTTTATTTGGTTTTGTTTAACATTTCATAGGAAACTGGTATAATCTATTCTGTCAGTAAGCCACAGAATAATAAGTCAGTAACACAGTTTATAGACTATGCTCTCAATCCATGCCATAGTGCTTTGAGAATGTGTCAACACTCAGTGATTTCCTTACCCAGCTCAAAAGCATCTTGGAGGCACCCCGGGCAATGTCTCATATACAGCCATTGAGGGTTATCCGCTCCAAAATAGCTGTTATAATCTGAATGGAAGAACCATAAATGATTCAATTGAAATCATGCCTGAAAATGCAAAAGGAAACGAACACAGAACAAGCTATAACATTAGTGGGTCTAACAGCGTGCACACCTGAAGGTCTAGAATTGAAGACTTTGGTGTTTCCCTTACCGTCATCCTACTCTATGAGACAGCTACTTCAAGATGCTGAGAATATTCCTTACAAAATTCACCACTACTGTTGTTTAGAGGAGTTATTTTGCATCATTTCAGATGTAAACAAAAACATGCAGTCACCTCTGACACAACTGAAACTTGGTAGAGGCTCTCTCCCCACCCTTTCTTCTTTTCTCTTTGAAAGAATTTAAGTGTTCATATCTTTCCTATGAAGTGGTTACAGTATAGTACATAGCACCTACCTAGTCATAGCCTTCATAGTAAAACCATTTTAAATAAAAACATATAGGCTAAATACTGGATTTAAGTGCAGCTTACTTTTCTTTTTTTTAACTTTATGAAGAAACTTGAGCAGAATTTTTTTTCTCTGACTTTTTTTCTGATTAGAAAACTAATTGAATTCTATACAGTCAGACAAGATTGAATTCCCAAAACACATGACAGTTACTTCTAGAACTGAGAGACTAGTAAAAAGCAGTATTCTTAATAGAATAATTATGGTTAAAGAGGACATATTTGATTTATTTTGAATGACAACTACTTTTTAAATTGTTTTCTCTTTGCCCACATGTAACAAATCTTTATTTTCTTCCATTAGGAACCATAAGGTTTTAAAATACTTTGTTTTCAAAAACACTTCAGAACAATAAAAGGGGGGACATCAGAAGCAGGTGTGTACTTTATGTAGTAAACTGAAACATCAAATAGTATGAGCAAGATAACATCTAATTGTATATTAAGTATCGCCTGAGGGATCAGCAAGGCGATCTGCAAGTAATCAGAAGTTATTTTGTTGAAGTAAACATGTCCAACTGGCATCAATTCTAAAGACATCCCAAAGGTATGAAGATCTTTATCAATAATGTTCTATCAAAATGGATAGAATCCCTATATAACCAATGACCTCCTATTGTGAGAAATAGCTGCAATTTACTTTGCCATAAGAAAAAGGCCTTACTCTTTCCAGGTTATGTACCGTGCTGCTTCTCATACAGAAAAGCATTCTCAAGAAGGCAGTCCTTAAAAAAAAAGAGGAATACAACTGTAACAGTTCCATTACTTTTTACTGTTTTATTTTCTTTTTCCAGGTATATTACCAAATATTTGTAATCTTCTTTCTGATAGACATAACATAGAACAAAAATCCTTTAATGGAAATTTGAACATTCCACTGTTAGTGGTGACAATATTTTTTTAATTGGTTGACTGTCAGAACTGAGTTTTGAAAACAGGTATCTTTTCCTTTTAATTATTTTTTCCACACTACAATAATCTTTAGCATCCCAGTTATTTTTGTGTGATTCATGCTGTGTCTTATAGAGGAGTAATTTGACACAAAATATAAAATATTTCCCATTTTTTGTAAAGATAAAAATAGTCCTCTGAGTTACACTTTTCCTGAATATTTTGGTAGATATTTTAGGGTTGCTGCACTATGACAGTATTTTTACAGGAAATTTCTGGTGACAAAGGATTTTACTAAAATAATGTTAACCAGAGACATGAATAAACCAAAAATTGAAAAGATGTTAGAGTGTACAAAAACTGAGACAAAATACTGGTTCACTAACAACTGTGAGATGAAGCTTCCTCTCTTGACTTCATTGATATTTTTTTCTTCATCGTGCATCAACTTGAATTACAGAATCTTGAATTCTGATTAAGAATCAGGTCCTGCATTTACTGAAAAACTGAAAGACAAGATGGTACTGAGTCTTTTGCTAAATCCAGAAATTAAGAATACATGACACTGGGAGCAGTCTGATGGTTGTGAATTCAAGTGAAGATTGGGAGTTGATGCTTGTGGCTCCTTTTGTGGTAAGTTTTTACAACACTGCAATAATATACTTCTCTCATTTTTGCTTCTTCTATCCAGAATAATATATGTTATGTATGTGTATAATAGAGGATATCAACCCTATTCAATCCCCAATACTCACAGAGATAAGGGAAAAAAATTACAAAGCTCTTTTCTCTTGCATTGTGAGGAAAGTCTTAACCATAGCAGAATATAATACTCATCTTGAGAAGCATTTACACTGTCACTCATATGGGAATGTTATTAAAAGCACTTCTATTCACTACATATTCAAATAACAATAGTAGAGGGATGGACTTCATGGCAAACAAGCAACCTCATGAACCCCAGCATGAATGAGGTCTGTTCTTCTGTGTGTTTAGATCTTGTATTTAACTGCAATTAACTGAATTCCTTCAGTTCAATACTTTTCAAGGTCATGCCAATTCTCTACATTTTAAGCAGTAGGAAAGGACATAGTATGTTCCCACCATTGGGACATTTATAGAGTCTCTGTCTTCTAATGATGATTTCATAAGCATTTTTGTTGCACTCATCCACTAAATTAGAAAGCTTTACATGGAAGCAAAACAGATATCTGGTTTTCTGAGCCTCAAAAGTTGCAGAACCCTCTTCATTGTCCTTAAAGACAGCTCACATTCTTCAAATCTCTTACTTGTACAGTGTGTCTGCTGCTATTACTGGTTACAAATAAAAACAAAACAAGCCATAGCAAAACCAATTTTTTTATTAAGTCATTGCAGCAACTTTTCCCCTTGTTTGGAAGTCTCTCACCAAGCCCTTTCCGAAAGCCTTGGGAATATTGAATACTCTTTTTTCTGCTCCTTGGTGCTAATGTCCTGAGCCCCACATTCAGAGTTTAACACTGACCACTATTCAGCCAGGAAAATTAAAATTATCTTATAGTGGCTTACTAATTTACCTTCTATCAGCATCTTGTTAACCATGTATAATTGCATGGTGTGTCTGAATTCACACATGTGAGTGAAGGTTATTTCAGAAAGAAAGGACAGACTGAAAGAACAACCTATATCCACAAGGAAAAAGTAGAGTAGACATTTGAGCAAACTGTTTAACTTTAAAGGCAATTAGGCAATGAAATTACTTGCCTGAGGAGGTAGTTTAGACAATGTAATGAGAAGTGCTTAAAATAGAATAAACTGTTTGAAAGACAGATACAGATGTAAACAATCCTCCATGTTTTGAGCTAGATGAATCAGGAGAGGTATCTTTTCTATTCAAATATCTGACTAAAAATGGTATTCTCTTTCTTTGTGAACAGCTTTCCAACTTATGACTGTTTACACCTGTTCTGAATACTAAAGTGAAACTGCACTCCAAAAGGCAGTTTAACCTCACTGTATCATTATAAAGTGCATTTATTCATAACAAGCATCTATGAAAAACTTCCAACAAAAAAGTCCTTAGTCAGGGAGATGCACATTGTTGCAAAAATGGATTGTTTCTCTAAGTGCTTATATGGCCCTATTGCTATAGCATCCAAGTGCCTTACAAACATTAATGAATGTATTCTCACAACACCCCTGGGAGATAGAGATAGTATTATTAGCTAATGCACAAAGAGTAGCTTGTCCAAAGTCACACAGAAAGTCTGTGGCACAGCCAAGACTCAAAACTGTGATTTCCTGCCCACTGCTGTAACCATGACTATATTCTCCTATCCATATACAGCATTTCAAAATTTGTTACATATAACCTCAGATCTTTACACAATAAGCCTTTCTGTTCAGCTGTAGATCCAACCACTAACTTAATAAAGAAAAATAACTTTGTTTATCTGGAAGCTTCATTACAGCAACAAATTTGCAGGTTACTCAAACAATGACAGTTATATGGACCATAACTGGTACTGATATATGAGAGCAATGAAAGAGAATTCCCTGATCATCACATTCAGAACAGAAGGCATCATATCCAGAACATGACTTTGAAACCATAATATTTTCCTTCAGATAATGTACATTATACAGAGAAGTCTTGTTTTGAGAATAAAGGGAAGAAAAAAAAAAGAAGAAAAATAAAGGCTAGCTGTATTCCCCTAATAGTTCCTTGTGGGTAAACTATTTCTGCAATAAAAGGACACACACTATATTTCTAGACATAAGGAGGTCAGATCTGGAGGGACAACTGCAGTAAGTGTATTTACACCTCAATATCAGAGAAGACTATATGATACATGTATGATATTATTATCATGTAAATATATGATATTGAGACATAGATAGATGATAGATAGATAGATAGATAGATAGATAGATAGATAGATAGATAGATAGTTTTGCAGTCATTTAATGAATTCAGAGATCTGAAGAATGATAACAGGATTATTCTAAATCAGGAACACAGCAACTTTTCTTATTTTGGCAAAGGGGAAGCACCGGCATTACATTTTTTTGTCAAGTGCTAAACAATTAGAAAAGTGAAAACAGTGTACAACTGCATAAATAATGGAAAATGGTATGATGACAAAGTGAATAATTTCCAACAACAGCACTTTTCTCAGTTCATGGCTTCATCTTTTAAGAAAGATGTAGATAAATTAGACCTGGTTTTAATTAGAGCTACCAGATAGGAAAGGGGATTTACATTAGACACTAATTGAAAACAGCTCATGTGTCAGGACAATTAAATAAATAATAGAGCACTTTATTATTTATAGTGAATCCACATTTTAACACTTGTTTAAGAATAAGTTAATAAATACTTATTGGGGTGATCCTAATTCACATAAGAGGATAGACTAGATAGTGTCCTCAGATCCATTTCAGCCTAACACATACGTTTGATCACTGTACAGTTATTCAGACCATTTATTGTTCAAGAAATCCTATTTTGGAATCTCTTATCACCTCTCTCTTCATCTCTATTACTTTTTCTTCCTTCTCTTTCTTTCTTCCTCTTTCCCCCATCAACTGTTTGTCTTTCAGCCCTCTCTCTGTTCTTTCTGTGTGCGTTTAAAGTCACACATCCCTATTTGGACTGGAAATTTCTGAGATATCTGCCTTTAG